TTAGCAGACCAGTATAAGCTGTAATGAAAACTGACTTGCAATTCCCATATTGAAAGATGAAATAAATAACTTCAGTACACACAAACCTCTTCTGTCTTTAAATCTAAGTTCAATTAGCAAAACTGAGGAAAGTGTTTTGAACTGTCTATACTTCAATACTATACTATACTTCACTTTAGTAGCTATAATGCCATGATTTCAGAGCTGCTTGATTAGTGCAAGACTGTTAAGAATCATCTTTAGAAATTCAGCCTTTTAATTCCAGAAAGAAGTTACAGATCAAAATAAATTTCTTAAGAAGCTTTCACGTAAATTTCTTAAGAAGCTTTTCACTAGAAGACAGGTAGATACAGAGCTAGAACAGAGCCATCCTGCATATGAATGTAGAATGTTAAAAAAAAAATACTCAAAGGTTTCAACAGGACACGCCTCCAAAGAAAACCGCACCTTAATCAATGACAAGAAATTACTCCCTGATACACTAATACCACTACAAGAACCTGAAAAGTCACAATGAAGTTTTGAGGGAAGCTGTAGATTCATTGTTTCTAAGCAACTTATAAACAGATGTAAATGGTTACAGCAGGCGCTATATTAGAAATCATTGTCCTCTCCAATAAAGTCCGTACATTTCCATAAATTACATACATCAGCTTTTCAGGTGGAATCCTCATAGGGGCAGATTGACAGCAGAAAGGCGCTATACTAGAAATCATTGTCCTCTCCAATAAAGTCCGTACATTTCCATAAATTACATACATCAGCCTTTTCAGGTGGAATCCTCATAGGGGCAGATCAACAGCAGAATGCAAAAGATGAAAGACTAAAATAGACTAAATCTCCCATTAATTTTTAAATATGAAATCTTACCTTGACTAAACTCTTCAGGATTTTAGAAGAAAGCACAGGCTTGAACGCTTCAATTGTAACTGTGTCCAGTTTGATGACATCAGTGTAACACTGATACAACACTGCAGGAATATGCCATACTTGACAATAACTCAAAACTAAATACACATGAAAAGAAAACATGTGTTACATTCAGCAGAGAAGGAATCTCAGGTTCTGTGTATAAAATCACATTTGTTCTGGTCAGAATTTCAAAAGCATGAAAGTTTATAAATTAACTACTCAGGATCTTGACTGCTAGACCAGCCATCCCTCATCCCTCAAGTACACAAGAAAATAAACCACCAAAAAGTACGAAAGGCAGTTGGTTTTTCTTCCTGGCAAATACCTTAACTGGAAACTGTATATTATTGGTAAACAAAAACAATACGAGTTTCTGTAAAATAAAAAAAACCCACAACCCAAACCCCTAAAACCCAACCAAACATTAAAAACTCAAAACAAAATGCAAATGAGATACTTTTTTTCTAGAAAAATCATCCACTTTTAGCTCCTGCCAGACAAGTTTTTCCCTCATGATGCTACCACTACTTTGGTACTCTATAATGAAAAGCCTCGGGTTTTTGTTATATTACATAATAAAACTGTATCCATCCTTTACATGAGGTCGATCAGTAGCACTGTGAAACCCACTTTACCTGTAATATGCAGAAAGGACTTTAAAAGCCTCAGTTTGGATGCCCAGGTGAAAATAATTCTTAATAAAACATATTTAGCTCATAAGTAAAATGCTCAAAAAACCCAATATACAAGACACTTTGTGAGGCTATACTCAAGAATTTGCTAGTACTTGTCCTGCACATAAGGGGTAAAAGGATTTGTGGGTGGTTTTGAAATTTGTCCCTATTTTACAAGGCACCATATAAGATGTCAAACTGTTGGGAATTAATTTTCAAAAAACTAACTTGTTAGCCACTTCACACAATTAAGTAAAAATTCTAATTGCAATGGGATGCTCTTTAAAGTGAATTTTGTGTTGATACCAGCAGCCTCGTAAATAATTGGAATTGGAAAATACCAGCAGCAGGAAGATCTCGCACAATGTTAGGTTGTTCCAGCAGTGGGCAGCAGACCTGCTCTTTGAATTCTTTTGTCTTCAAGGCTTTCAGGAATGGAGATGGAAGTGTTAAAGTGGATTCCTGAGTTTTATAATCAGCTACAGGACACGTTGAAAGAATGGTTACTTGCAAGCTCTCCTTTTGCATACAGCCAAAAACCTGAAATAAAAATGTTAATACATAAGCAAAATTTATCTTCTCCAATAGCAGTGTAAAAACACAAAGATTCATTTCAATTTCAGTGCAGATGGCAAACGGCACTTTAACTCAGGTTTGCAGGACTAACTAAAATTTGAATCACAACCTTCAGGTAGAACCTTCACGTGCATTGCTCTTGGGATGGAGATAAAAAAAGCACCTAATGTATTTACCAAGTCTATTGATTTTCTTGAGAGGCTTTAGGTTTTCAGCACTTTCTATTCACCTGCAAATAAATTAAGACTTACATTTTTACTAATGATGATTTTTGTAGAAAGAAAAAGGACTCCAAATAAAACCAAGCTCCTTATGACAGGAAGTCAACCTGCTAAGCTGCAAGACACTTGAGATTGAAATCGTGCTCCCCAGATGTTCTACAGTACTTAAAAAGAGTCTTAATTTTAAATACTCAGATTTTATTTAATTATATTCAAGTTGAATTGAGAATTGTGAAAGAGAACCTTAATTTTTCTACAGTTTTCCTCAAAGACACACGTTTCAAAAACATTGTACAAAACATACTTTTGGATCCATCACATGTTGTCACAAAATACCATCATGCTGCACAGCCTTCCGTTGTTTTTAAGAACATAGGCCAAAATGAGGAGAAGCACGATAAACCTGCACCTTCCCTTTACACTGTCCTCTTCAGACTTATGATGAATAAGGAAACAGGGAATTTGGTAAACATTACAGAAACCTGCCTGTTTCTGTATATGGTACCAATCAGAGAAGGGAAGCTGACTGTTCCCTCACATCAGCGTGTTACCGTTGTAATATAAAACTGACATAACTTTTCAGAAGCACACATATTTTCAATTTACAGTATATTTACTTTGTCGGAAACACTGGCTGGTGTGCATTACTGCGACACTTTAGTCTGTATGTTCTCACTTTGTCAGTGATCACTTACTGAGAAAACACATACAGAAGTAAAAATCTGACTCATGGAGATTGTGAAGATGCTCAGTGAATCAGAATTTATGAAGCATACAGAAGAGGTCTGTAACTCACACTAAAAGCAGCAGATTACCAGCACATTTCTGCTGCATGTTTAAAAATACCAGTAACCATGAAGTTTAAAAATACTCAAGAACATTGACTTGGGAAAACTGTACACTCCTACTGTTCATGAGTGCCCGCATTTGAAATAACACATATGTGCAAACAGCTGGAAAAACACAAATGGAGAAGACCGCAAAACCACAACCATCTTCTCTTTTGTAATCTTGGTTTAAATGAAGTGCAGGAATTTTTTTTCAGGAATGCATGGCATACAGCAAAACCAAAATGTTTTAGGTCTCAGGGTTTCTAAACTTTGAAGTGAACCATTACCTCCCCCCAACTGAAATAAACTCTTCAACAGGCCATGGAGCTACAAAAGGCTAGTTTTCTCCCAACTTGGGTCTGAAATCCCTGTATCATTCAGTGAAGTTACCCCAGTTTTCTACCCTCTTTGCCTTCCCGTCATCTCTCTGGCTCCCTCACACTGCTCATATGCTTCTCCCTTACACCCAAGTAATCCTTCTCATGCACTGGCTGGGGCCACCTGACAGGTTAGACCGAGCAGGTATCACTCAGCTCAGGCTGAGGACTTGCTCTCAGCCAACATGCCACTTCTCATCTCACTCTCTGAACCTCCAGCCACAGCCTTACACAACCTCAGCGTTAACAAAATAGCTTTAGAACCTCTGCTTGTTCATCAGATCAGCAGAGATTTAAAGGAAGGCAGGTTGGCAGACAGACACAAGACAAAATAAGCCATACTTCCCTGAGGCTAAGCAGTGACCCAAATCCATACAGAAAATAAACAGCCAGAACATTGTCCCCCGGCTTTATCTTATTAAAATCAACGTGACGATATTTGGAGGGACCTGAACGACTCAGCAGTATTCCTGTACCTGAATGATGCTGGGGTAAGGCACTTAGCATACGAAGCCTACGAACAAATGGGACAGATACTGCTTTGGAGGCACCTTCCTGTAGAGTTCCTCTTTGTGAAAGGAACAGAACACACCTGTTAGTAAAGATACTATCATCCATCATGAGTTTCACGACAGGTTTGTCTGGTGATCCTTTGGCAGTCATACTAATGCAGATATGTTGCTATTTTTTTAAGGAAGGATTCTCCCAGAGCTGAAATGCATGTGAAATAAGCCATAGAAAGTTTAAGACAAACAGCAAAAAGGTTCAGAAATTAGTTAAGGGCAACAAAATCGAAACTGTCCAAAGGAATTATTTGCACAAAGTTGGTAAGTTACAGTAGATACAACTGGCAGCATCTAGAACAGAATTTCACAGAATCTGCAGATAGTAAATTTGCTCATTTGTTGGATATTTAAGAAAAGCAAGCCACAGGGAAATCAGTTGTTTACAACGCTGTCGTGTTTAGAATATCAGAGAGGAAGAGACACTTACACTAAGATCCCCACCCCTAAGACTTCATTGCTCAATTTGCTGTCTTGCCAGTTTTACCTTTTCAAGCCACTGGAACTGTTGATCCTCAGCAACGTAGCAACTACACTGGCACAACAAAACCTTAAAAAAAAAAAAAAAAGTTGCGTAAGTGGTTTAAAGAGCACAACAACAGCTCATAATCACGTGTAAAGATGATGTGACTGCAGCCAATAATTTGTTCAGTTTTCTTGGGCTTCTTCAACTCTATTTCAGCAAGAATTTTTCATTCACAACTGATGTGAAGCAATCAGGTTGTTATACATCATCTTTGTACTGAACTTCATGGGCCGCAACCTCAAATAGTTTTAGCAGGTGAAAGAGCCCTTCAGATTTTTGATGAGATTAATCCAGAATATGGCAGCCTTAGTGCTTCATTTGCCCTGGGCGGGGGTGGATGAAGGTTGCTCTCTTTTTCAGAAAGCTAAAAATATAGATGAATTCATGCATAAGCCACTTACTGTTGGATCTGATATTAATCGGTAGAACAAACAGAAAGAATCTGTTGGGAGGACATTCGTTGTGTTGGATGTTCGACACCACTCATTCCACAGCTTCACAACTCCAACTACTTCCCAACATACAGAATCCAGAATAAAAGAAGACAGGAAAGCTGCAAAAAACCCAATAAAAGAATAAAATCCCTGTTCTATAAATAAATACCCAAAATTAATTAGATTATTTCCTTGCAATCTCAAGTTAAAAAAATGTAGTAATTTATTTTTATCAACATACATTTATTGATCAAATCCACCAAAGATCAAGAATATGAATAACCTCACCTTATCAAGGCTTAAAAGATAAAGAGCAGTGCTATCTATAGAGAACCCTAACATCAAAAACATGTATTCTTAGGAATTACATCACTGTAGTCACCTTTGATTCCTTTAGTATATGCTAAGGATGTAAATATTATGTCTCTAATATTTCTTGACACACCAGAAATAACAGATTTTAAAAAAAAAAAAAAAAATAAAAAATTATTAAACTAGCAAGGTAGAACTATTACACTGGCTTTTGGAAGCAGTGACAAGAGTATGCACGACTTAGTGGTAAAAAGAGATCTTAAATCAAATGTTCGTAAATCAAATTCCTATCAAAAGTTACTGTTAAACAGAAGACAGATCTAAAACATCTATAAGTATTTTTCAAAGAAAAAATCTGAACAAAGAAAAAACAAATTAGCCAAGTTAACTTCGATATCGTCTAAATGTCATCTAAACGTGATCTAAATGTAAGGAGGACTTAAAACTTTATATCCACAGTGAAACAGCTGTTAAAGCCTCAAGACTTTGTTAAGTGTGTGTGGGAAGGGAAGATGACGTTTCAAGACTCTAGGCCTAATAAGTAGATAACCACCTCAAAAGAAGGTATTTTGAACAAGCGGGAATTAGAATGTGAAAAAGGGATTGACTGATTAAGGAAAAAAAGTAAAAAAAGAAAAAGAAAAATCACAGTTCATTAGAAATTAAAGAAATTACAGCTTATTGACCCATAATTTTACATCTTTGACAGATCCTTATCTCAAAACACTAAACTGCACTGAGAAACTTGCTACTATTAAAAGGAAACTTTTGCCAATTAACAAACAATCCAGCAAAGTCTACCAAACACAAGTGAGAGAAATGAAAAGGGGAGCTGTCCCAACTAAAATCCAAACCACACTTTTCTTCTACCCTTCAACTGAAAATATATCACTTTACCACGATCTGACAGGAGGAACAAGCAGCTGTGCTTTACATGTACAGACTAACTTTGGCTTTCTCCAGACGGCTCAGAGTTGAAGCTCCGCTCGCCCAATGAAGAGCTGGACACCCCTACGGACCGTTCTCCCAGCAGAGACCGACGTTAAAACAGACAGTGGCAAAGGCAGCGCCCCGTGGCACACTGGCAGCAGCACTTCAGTCTCTGAGGGTTTGTTTTCGCAGCTCGCACCACCTACCTGCAGCGTTATGTCCTATCGCTACTATAAACTTGGAGCACACGAACGGCTCGTCGGCAGAGCTTCCCGCAGACGCGCCCGACTTCAAGGTCCAGAGAACGTCGATCTCCCTGGCAAAAGAGGCGGAGGGCAGTGGAGCAGCGATCCCCCTACCCCAGCG